GCTTAATCATTGTTTATTGACTTTTCAGTTAAGTTACAATCAGAAACTATAAGCCAGTAATGGGTAATTAATGGGTACTTATTACTACTTTAATTACTTTTCAGTTTTCATTAACCAATAACTTTACAACAGGCAATGGACAAAAAATAAGTCGTCGGTGCATCCCACTTTTTCACTTCTTTTAGTGACATAAATTAATTAGATAGAATGTCAAGAAACCTTTAGCAACCCGCAAGTCTTTGTTAATCATGATTTTTGATAAATTGAGAATTGCTTCTTTCCAAGGTAAAGCAATGCCATTTGTCCAAAAAAGGTTATTAAAAGTTGTAGTATAACTCAAGTAATATAATGATTGCATACCAAAGGCAAAGGAGGAATAATACACTAAACAGTACTGCTTAATATACCAGTTCAATTTAATAAATCTTATTTAATTTTCGATAACTACCACAAACTTATCCAACAACTTTTCCATCTACAAAGCGAAGTACAACATCGTCTTACTAATTGCTATTGGAGTTATTTTGGTGCTACCTAATGATATTTTTATAGTAATATCGTTGAAAATGTTGACAAATATCGATTCTCGTTAGATCACCAATAATAATGCACATGGCAATCATTGGTGATTTTTTTTTTTTTTGATAATTACTTCTTCCATTTAATTAACTTAATTATTATTTTTGAAAGATCATTGCTTAAATTTTATCCAAAGTCCCTGAATTGTTTTTAGCCATCTTCAAATCTAATACTCATATGATCATCTACACAATTAATTAAATATAATAATTTACATTAAACATGATAATATTTATGTAATTTTTGTATATTACAAAATAATGATTGGATTTATAATTTATATGTTAACACTAATGTTATGCTTGTTTAATAACTTCGATTAGACATGACAATGACAACTCTTCAAATTTGAAGCGAACGCCCATTTTTAAGGAAAAATAAAGTTTAGAATAGTAAATTGATAGAGAGTATGTGAATTATTATTTTTTATTTACATGTAATATTATTTTAATAAAAAATATGTGGTTGAAAAGAAAATAGAGAAAAATGCAATTTTAAGATTTTTTAGCTCGATCTTGAATTTAATCTTGATCCGTCCCTTCCATCACTCACCTATATATACAATTGTAAATATAAAGAACAAACGAAGATAAAGTGAGATCCGTAGTTGTTAAAGACTACAATACTCAACCCCTCTTCTTCCATTCTCGCCCTTTTTTCTCACACACTTAAAAACACTCGATCCTAATTTTCTACACACATTTATAATATAGTACAATACTTTTTGTTCGAAATCCAACCTTAGATCTTGTCCAAAATGACAGACAGAGTTCACCCATCAAGCAAGCCAAATGGGAAAGGCAATGCCACCGCCACACCCGCCGTGGCAACCACCAATCCACCACTCAAATTCCCTCCTGCATCCAAAACTCACCTCCACAACCCTCCGTACCGCCCCACTCCCACTTCTCTCCACCGACACAACCGCCGCCGCTTCACCTGCCGCCGATGCTGCTGTCTCACCTGCTTCTGGTCCATTCTCCTCCTCATCGCAATCCTCCTTCTAGCCGCCATTTGCTGCGCCGCCTTCTACGCCCTCTATCATCCCCAACGCCCCGAGTTCTCTGTCAGCTCCCTGAAAATAACTCGGTTCAATCTCACCACCAATGCTGCCGATGGCACCACTTACCTGACAACAAAATTCAACCTCACGATCTCCTCCAAGAACCCCAATAAAAAAATCATCTACACCTACAATCCCATTTCGATCGCAGTATTTTCCAACCAAGTAAATTTATCAATTGGCTCCTTCACGAATTTCACCAGTTTACCAAACAACATCTTCATAATTCACACCTCTACCGGATTATCATCCCAGGTTCTTGACGTTGATTCTGTAAATTCTATAAAATCACATCTGAAGAAGAAAAAAGGGCTGCCGATGAAGATTTTAATGGACACTATTTTGGAAGTGAAAATGGAAAAGTTGAAGATGAAAAATATTGGGATTCGAGTCATTTGTGAGAGGATTCATGGGCATGTGCCAAAGGGGAAAAATTCAGCAGTTGCCAACACCTCTAAAGCAAAGTGTAAGGTTGATCTGCGAATCAAGATCTTGAAATGGAGTTTTTAATTTTTCGCTAATTTAATAATTAATTATCACTTCTACATGTTTTGTTTTCTATTGTCATTATAGTACTCGTAAATTTTCTGAGCAAGAATTGAGAGAAAATGAGGTATCTTTTAGTATAATTGAGAGGTGATGAGCTATACTTTTTTTGGTTTTATATATATATTTATGTATTGAAGTTTGAATTTTATTGTTGTTTCATTGATATTATTCAAAAATTTCCAGTCATAAATTCGTGATTTATTTGAATTTTATAATTGTTTTGAATTTGTTATTTCAAAAGTAAAGTATATATAAAATAAATTTATACCAAAATAGCTAACGTTTTAGGTTAGAGCAAACTGTTTGAGAAAATTCAGCCTCCTAATGGGGTATTATTATAAATGACCTGCTACTATTCATTTTTGATAAAATGTCTATTATACCCTTAATGAAATAATTTATCATATATTGCACAAGATATCCTTAATTTATTGGGATAGTTTTAAATTCCTCTATTTCTCTCATTTCGAATTTTAATATATAATTTTATCCTTTGATCTAATAAATTAGCATAATCTGTAATATAATTGTCATGTAATTTACTAAGATTATCAAATTCCTTCGATAATATATCCATAATCTCTAATTGAGAATAAATATTTTCTATTTTTTCCATTAATCTATCTAACAGATTATCTAATCCTTTAATTGTATAACCTGGCATTATTCAAATAATTCCTTGCAAACTTTATGAATAATAACATATTTAGATAAGTTTTTTGCAAACATGAACAATAATAATCCCTACAATTCTTTCAAGATATTAGAAGAATTCTTTCTAAATTTAACAAAGACAATAATTTTACCTTACTTTTGATCTTAAATCTGTATTCTTAGAACCGAGTGACCTTCAGGCTCTGAATCTGCAAACTGCTCCCTTAAACGGCCTCTTGCCTCAATGGGAATTCTGCTATTTCAGCTTCTTACCCTCACTGTATCTTTTCTTAGAATTAAGAATAAAGATCTTAAGTAAAGAAAATTCTCTCTTTGTTAAAGTAAGAAAGAGATTACCTTCTTCAATCTATCAAGAATATATGGGATAGTAAGTTTAGAAACTCATATCTTTCTGATATCAAAAGATTGAGATTTTATTTCTATAATGATTTATACAAAATTTATATTGTATACAAGGGGTTTCCAGAAAAACTGGTTTTGAAAAACTTAAGGAAAGAGAATGGTTTCTAACTCGAGATACCCCATTCTTTCCCAAAGACCTCTATTTATACATGACTCAAACTTACTATTATTGGTCTATTACATCATTGCATACATCAGAAATTTGAAAAAA